CTTCCCGGGGGTGCGGGGCGGAGACCCCAGCGGAGAGAGGTGACCCGCCTGCGGGGCGGTTGGGAGGTGGCACGCTGGTTAGGACCCCAGGGAGCCAGGTGAGTGGTGACTGAAGTGAAGCGCCCGCGGGGAGCGGAGCTGGGCTGCGGGGCCAGGCTCAGTGGAGAAGGGGCTTGGAAAGGCGCCACCCAACTCCACCCCACCCCACGGGAGGTTCCTGGAACTGGGGCTGCACACCCAGCGACCGCGTCTTCTTCCGCCAGGGTGTACACTCGTGCCTGGGAAGAAGTGATCGGAGGGGCAAACTGTTTCTCTCAGGAACACTGTTACCCACACCAGGAATTCTGAGCCGAATAACACGATTCGCAAGGTGATGCTTGCAGGTTTTATGGAGGCTTCGAGTCTGCTCGTTGGTGCTGTTGGTATCTGGATTCTGTTCGGAAAATGGGGTGCAGGCCGGATCCGCTAACCCCAGATTATTGATCCAGGCGCGTGTCCACTTGGAACAGCACCGATTCCGGAGTGAAATGAGTGGAGAACATGTCAAGATGCAGCTCAGTACCTGCTGCGTTTGGAAGTGGTCCCACACTTTGCGGATAGCCAGTGTTTGAAGCTGCAGGAACCTGTTGTCTGAATCCCTCCCTTTGCCCTTGGATAACGGACATGATAGCTCCCCACACCGCCCAGATTGCAACTCAGGAGCAAGATGGTCTCCCCTCCCCAGCATCCGGGACAGTGGGGTCTGCACAGTGGGTGCCTTAGCCCAGCGCTCCCCACACCTCAATGTGCAGAGGGTCACAGGGGGCCTTGTTAACACCAAAGTCTGATGGGTAGGTCTGGGTGGGACCTGAGATTCCGCATGGTACTCCCGGGTAATGACAGGGCAGATGGCTTGAGGGCCGCACTTTGAGCGGCAAGGCTTAGAGCACCCCGTTTGGCACTGGCCGGAACTATTTTGAGTGCTGACTGCAGCACTTAATAGCTCCATGACCTTAGGCAAGTTCTTAACATTTAAGCCTCCCAAGCTGTAAAACGGGGATGTTACCAACACCCACCTCAATCTTGAAAATTAAATGAGAACACCCATCTGAAGTGCCTAGAGTAGTGCCTGGCACGCTTATGTGGGTTTAGGAAATGTTAGTTAATTGTTGGGGTCACCCTTGCGGAGGAAAGCTGGCACAAATCCCAACATACCAGCAGGGGGAGCGGTGTGTGGGATGGCCCAGGCAGTGGTCAGCAAACTTGCGGCTCGGCAGCTCGCGAGCCACATGCGGCTCTTTGGCCCCTTGAGTGTGGCGGTATTTTGTGGAAGACCCACACTCAAGGGGCTAAAGACTCGCATGTGGCTCGCGAGCCGCGGTTTGCCGGACCACGGGCCAGGGTAAAGGCAGCCAGCCCAAGAGTGACCACTGCACCCCGGAGTGCCCGGCATGGGCCAGATGTGTAGAATAAGGTTGTGGAGTACTTGAACGACTGTAACGCAGAGCAGATCATAGATGTTTAAAAGTCCTGTTTGGAGCAAGAACCTTCTTGCTGGGAGGTCAGGGACCTGCACTTGGTCTTGGGGTGACGGAGAGGCAAGGGCTGCTCTGACTGCTCTCAGCCCTGGGGAACTTGACCTCTGCGTCAATGGAGACAACTTTGTAAAAAAGGATTAACGCACAGAAAGGTGTTGGGGGAACACATTTCCCAGTGGACTAGGTAGTTTGTGCCACGAGGGAACTTCCAGGAGTGGAAGTGGCTTGGAAAAGCCCTCTGTGTATGAACCGTGAACACCTCCTGAAGCCCAAGTGCCTCCCTTCTATTTCTCAGCACCGCATGATGGCTATTTCCATTTGGACATTTTTAAAGAGGTTTTTTTTTTTTAATGTTATTTTTGTCAACCAGTTCTTCTGTCAGCAGAGAGTACTGGATCTGTGAACCTAAGGTAACTTTTAGGTTTAACCAGGAAAATCCCACAAAACAAAGTGCAAAGAAAATGAATCCCATAATATGTTTATTAAAAAAAACCTTCGAAATATTTTTTAAAAAAGTTATCCTGTTTCATCTGCAAAACTTTAAATCTTGATAAATGATTTCTGGGACATCAAATTAAAAAATCATTTTGCTCTCTATTACAGATGTCCAGCTGCCTGTCAGATGGGTAATCTATTTTAATATCTGAGAGAGTAAATGGATTGTTAAGGGATAGTACGTTTTTTATCCTCATTAAAAACCTTGAAATCTAAATGAATTTATTAATGAAGACGTGGTATTCTTAGCTCTCAAAATGAATGGCATTGTCACCATTGTTCTCATCTCTCCCTTCCTCCATTCTCCTCTCTTTGAACTTCCACACCCCATCCCTCCACCCAAGAACGTTTCCTAAGACTCATTTCTTGGCTTTTTATTTTTCTCAGTTTCCGCCATTTCCCTTAGAAATTTATTTATGTCTTATGTTTAGTTTTGAAGTGTGTGATTACTTCTGAATCTATACCGACATCCTTAACCTGTTTCCAAGCCCCCATATCTGCATTACCAATTACTTGCTAGGCATTTCCACTAAATTTCCACTAGCCTAGAAGTCTAAATTAAGCTCCTCCCTCCTCCCATAAAACGGATACTCCCTTGGTAATAAATCAAGATGGTTATTTGCATTGGGCAGCCCTCAGTGCTGTTGCGGGGACTTGGAAAGGACATGGGACACACAGTATGATTATCCCTGCTGCCTTCCTACCATTCCAAGATATTGTTATGAGACTTTGCCTTCATCAGTGACTGGGGCCTACTCATAAAAACAACTTACTGGTAGAGCACCCACATATGCAGCTGTGGGCTGCTGCATAAATGGTGGTCAGTGTGAATTGAGCTCGTGAGAGTAGGGTAGGCTAGATTATGCCGCTGTAGGAAACACCATCAAAATCTCAGTGGCTTCACACAAAAGTTAACTTCCTGCTCACGCCAAATCTCCTGGGCAGCTCTTATGGGGACTCATCATTTTAGCCTGCTTCACTCCTGTGACCTCTCCATGAGCACCATGGCAATGGAAGAGTGTGGAAAACTGCGCAGCAAACCTTAAACACTTTCACCTAGAAACGACACAGACCACTTCTCACATTTCACTGGCCAAAGGAAGTCACATGGCCATTACCAAACTTTAGGGGGTATGTACTCAGAAGGAATGGAAAAGTAGAAATCTTAGGGATAAGTAATGACTAACACAGGGGTCCATTTGACATAGAGGGTGAGGGGTAAAGTCAAATTGGAAGCAGTCCAATATAGTAGGGAATGAGCATAGATACCAGTTGGAGGAAGGTACTCAGTGGTACGTGGAGTCTTTGGAGAAGCATTGCCATTGTTGTTATTATACAACTAGAGGCCTGGTGCATGAAATTCATGCACGGGGGAGGAGGGGTCCCTCAGCCTGGAGTGCAGAATGCCAGCAATCCCTCGCCATGGCCTTCGGCCCCTCCCCTCCCTCCTGGGCTGGGGCTGGGGCGATGCTGCCAGCATCCCACCCCGGCCACTATGGGCGCTGCCATCTTTGTTGTGGAGTGACAGTTAATTTACACATTACTCTTTTATTAGATAGGATGTTGTTATGTAGAGAGATACGTAACAGTGAAAACTTCTATCTCACTGCCTTTCAGGGTCAACTTATGCTTCAGCCAAGGTCAGTCAGCTCTAGGCATTGATCATTGAAGCTCTTCTGTGACATAGGAGCCGGGAAGTGTCTTCCATCTTGATTCTACCCTGGGGACACACCAACCATTAATAAGTAAGGTTTCGTCAACACAAGAACATTGGCTGCT